AAACTGTTTTTATTTTTTCAAATTATAGTTCCCATCATGAACTTTACTCTCTAAATTTTTTTTTAATATTCAAAAGTTATAATATATCAAGTTATATCGAATAAAATAAAACAAGGCAGATTTGTTTGTTCTAGTTTATTATGTATTTAGAAACTATTTCTAAGCGGAGTTCTAAAACAATGTAGGCAGCACTGAAAATATGTTTTAAATATATGTGTAGAAATAATCTATATTAGAGTCGTTTAAAAAATATTTGCTAAACAAAAAGTTTTAATATACATCGGGTTATAGATGTAGTAGTATTTCTTAGATCGATAGGTAGAGGTAATAGAACTGTGTATTATTTTATCCATATATTGTAGCCACATAAAATCTAGAGAGAATAATAATTGATAGCGAATATTTTCAGGGTTGTTCAAAATTAGTATTAAGTATTTAGAACTGACCATATAAAATTTGCCGAGCTGAATTTGTGTATTATTTGAATAGTCAATATTTCTCGTTTATGCTCAAAATATATGAAACCGATAAAGTAGAATTTATCTGCTTCGCATACCTCGGCATTTAAAGGGATATTGTGGCCGTGGCCAGCACTATACCCAGCCGCATTTGTTTCCTGACGTAAGTTAAGTAACCATCAGAGTTGGTTGAAATCATGACGTTCCAGTGATTTGAACCCAGGTTCAAGCTGTTTATGTCTCTACCGCTAGGCCACGTTGTCCCATGAATAGTCAAGTTATCTACTGTTTATGTGCCTAGTTCATTTCAAAACCTCTCACTGCCGTCGTCACGATATAAACATAACACCCTAAGGCACGATTTCCTAACTGTAATAGAGAGTTAAAATTAAACATATAATGCTTCAAAGTTTGCCTCAAAATAGTAGGATAGAAATGAAAACCACAGTTCTGTAATACCACATAAAGCCCCTGATCTTTAATGCAGTGTTTCGTTCAACATAGTAGGTCGAGCGAGTTGGTTGTTATTTATATTTAATTTAATAAAACTATGACCTTTTGTATTTTTACCTTTAAATTTACTGCAGTTATAATATATATTAATTACTTGTTTTCAGTTTGTTTTAAAAAATATTATATTTCACCTTAAAATAAATTCTAGTTGTACAAATGATAATACATCACTCTTAAACTCGGTCAATATTGCAAAAAGTTAAAATAAGTCTGTGATCTTCAAATAATTATATGGTTTTTCGGTAATCAAACTAATTAAACATCAACCTAGTGAAATGAGGGGAACTAAATTACAAAAACTTTCTTCTATATTCTATACAGAAAATGAAAAAAAATATTAGATTACGAAATAGTCTTATCGATGTTAAAAACTGAATTATAATAAGCTGTTTTTAGATTTTTAAACGAACCTTCACTTGGCTGGGAAGGGTGGATGTTTATATTATGGAAAACTAATGGGATGGGGTGGGGGAGGGAATGGCCATATTTAACGATCCAAATGAGTGAATGTCGGACTCGCCAATTAAAATAAAATACTTAAAAAATTTAAAAAAAAACACGTTTTTCTTGTGGACTAAAAAGTAGAAAATAAATTTTTCTTCCGACCCTAGGGGATCTACCAATGACTGCTCGTAGATTTTGTGCTTCCTCGAGCTGTGCAGGTTCTTGTGATGACTGTTCATACATTTGATGACAAAAAACGTGGGTACGTTCACCATCAAATTTCCGGACCCATCTGCCGGACCCACGTTTTTTGTCATCAAATGTATGAACAGTCATCACAAGAACCTGCACAGCTCGAGGAAGCACAAAATCTACGAGCAGTCATTGGTAGATCCCCTAGGGTCGGAAGAAAAATTTATTTTCTACTTTTTAGTCCACAAGAAAAACGTGTTTTTTTTAAAGTTTTTTTTTAAGTATTTTATTTTCTCCTTTTTAGTCTGTTGCTACACATGAAAAACGTGGTTTTTAAAAAGTTTTTTATATAGTTTATTTTCTACTTTATCTAATGACTTGATTAAGTATGACTTGACTAAGTGTTTTTAAATACACGGACTAAAAATCTTGAGCGACCGATACGCTTTAAACAGAGAAGGGGCGTAATTTAATTAAGCTAATTTATGTCTCTAATTGCTAGTTTTTTATTATTGCATCTGAAATTGTTATGTGAGCTTGGCAGTGCGAGACCCACAGCAGCCTACATGCCGTGACCAGGATTCGAACCTGAGTTGTCGCGGCCACAACGCGAAGTACTAACCACTATACGATCACGGCCAGCGCGCTCACATCGATTGGGGGCCGAAGTAACTGTGTCAATAGGCCTCCAGTCTTGTCGGTATCTTTAGAAATCATGTCCTCAATTTTAGGGTCCTTGGGGCGTAATTTAATTAAGCTAATTTAGGTCTCTAATTGCTAGTTTTTATGATTGCATCTGAAATTGTTAGGCGAAAATAGCCAGCATGCCGAATTTCAGATGTCTCGAGCAATCAGAAGTGGGCTAATTTTCGTTGTCAACACAACTTCTCCCTTATGGACTTATCGGGTGAGGGGGTATGAGTGGGTGGGGGAAGTCGTCAAACGAAGGGGGAGGGGTTGAAGAGTGTAAAGGTTTTAGCATTTTGCTTGGGTCTATTATGTATTGATTAACGAAGGAGGAAAGTTGGCCTTAAATCGAAAAAAACACTGTATTAATATAAATTGGAAGAGAAACCTATACTTAACCCAATCCTTAACTCAATCCCTGACCCTAACTCTAACCCTTGATATTTTGCTAATATTTGGTAATCTATGGAATGACTAGGAAATTTATAAAATATTCATGTATTTCATTCTTTGTTGAGTTATTTTAGCTTGGTATGCATTTACTAGGTATTCTAAAGCATTACGGTTTTTACACTTCGCTGGTAACACACACACACACACACACATATATATATATATATATATATATATATATATATATATATATATATATATATATATATATATATTTAACAAAGGGAAATAGTCGTGAAAAAATAAGCAACACTCAAAACTAAGTTGCGTTTCTTTCTACAGTACATTTAGTATTAACAGTTGTATTAATTTCAAACAATGAGTATAAATAGTTAACATTTACTGGGAACTGAGGTTTTTTTCGAATATTTGGTGTAAGTGAACAAATGATGCACTGTGTAAATAAAATGCGTTAACGTCAACAGGAATACAAACACATTAAATTCAAATCAATGCAGAACATATTTAACTGCAAATAGACAATGTTGACACCTGATAACGTGCACGTGACATTTCAGAAAGACAATGTAAATACTAATGAAGTAGCTGTAATGTATTGCAGACAGAAAAGTTAGATACTTGTTGACTAGTACACATGTTATTGTTGAGAAAATGTTTCACTATTGTAACGTACCATTTTATTGTTACGAGTCAAGGGAAATAAATCGATCTTACTTAGTTGCTTGTCTGTGGTTTGGCAATGGGTAAAGTTACGTTGTGCTCTTGTTACCATTGGTTACCAGTTTTCCATGTCATGTGCCTTCTGTAGGCGAACAGCGCTCCTTGTATAAACTCGTCCTAGTCTTGGCACCTGTCTATCTCTCCATTTCTCAACATTTCCTTTAAAGTTCTACCTCCCACCTACCCATGGTGAGGTATTCACTAGTTTCGCCAACATCTCTACCATCAATTTCTAGATACTGACCTCACCATAATATAAAGTTAACTCTTTCACATTTAAAAATTACACTTTTATGCAGAATTTGAAACCCCTTACTGTGGACAGCAACTGTTTTAGGAGAGACAACTCCTTGTAGTTTGTTCTTGTTGGATAAATGCTATGGAGGCAAAGCCGAAAAGAAAAATAGGCTGAAATTAGAGTAAGCGGCTTATATAGCAACATCGCGGCTTGAAAACTTTACACTAAGTATATATATATTTTTAAAATTTTTAATTAAAACCTTGAATTTTCTGCGCGATAAATGTGTTGAACAAACTCCCTCCTTTTCCTACCTCCAACTGCATAATTGCAAGGGTTATTAGACACATATTTAGTTTTATCAACTTGCACAGAGATGTGTCTGTTTTTTTCTACCATTGACACTTCGAATTTAACATACCATCTTAACTGAACCAAAAAATCACACTTAAAAAACCCAATAACAATTTAACCATGAAGCAAAACGTCAATACACGTCGATGTACTAGGTCAGGATATTAAACAAAAATTAAAAAAAAAACAATAAAATGTTGATACAGCTTGGCTTTATTGCCTCGCTCTAACCTCACTGAGTAAAAATGTGAGAAACGTTTCTTGCACAAAGCTTGCTTTTAAGTTATCATTTATAAACGTACGCATTCAGATACAAAATAAACATACGCAAACAAATTGATCAACAGCAAAGAAGTACGCAATGTCTTTATTAGTTATTGACTTTATATTCAAGACACATGAGAATGGACTATTACCGCAAAATAACAGATAAAACAAATTTCTTACCCGAAATCAATGTTCAATAAAAATATATATAATGAAAAATAACAGATATTGATACAATAATTGTTAATTCGAGCAGAAGCTGTGTTAAATGTGCAAATTATTAGAATAAAATACAAATTTTCGATAAAACTTTCTACGTTTATATCATGCTAATGACACTCTCGTTTAAAATTGACTTGGTGGAAAAATCTAAGTTAACAGCCTGGAACGTTTAAATATTGCCACATTGTATTTTATCCGGTACCACTTGTAAACTCTGATCAATCCTTGCTTGTTGTAAATAAATAGCAAGATATCCATAAAAGGAACGGTACTGAACTATTACATGTAAAAAGAAGTTTAAAAAGGATCGTTAATTCATTAATATATTGTTGAGTTTTTACTCAGAATAGCAGTTTTAACTTTGACTTTATTTGTACACCAGTACAAAGACCGTTACAAACGGGACGATCACCTGACAGAAAATGACTCACAGCAGGAGAATAAAATAGGTATGTATTGAAACAGTGAAGCTTTGAGAACCTATAAAATCCTTATTTACAAATAAGTTTTTCATCGTACAATTCTCTGTGTACTACTCGTAACTCCGTCGCATTGTAAGGATGCCCAGAAATGCGCTTCCTAAAGGAACAGCCGGAGACCGTATGTCTGAGGTAAGAAAACAGAGCACTGTCTACTACTTCAACGCCAGCTTTCTTGGAACACATCCCTGTGATGTACACATCTTCCCAAAGGAACAACGGCAACCTCAGTGACGCCTGGTACAACAGCCACGACGCCTGTGCTGACGCGACATAAGCCGCACCTATCACATAATCCGGATAGGTATCCTCGGGGTACTCAGGGTACCACTTGGAGTCAGTTGATCTCATTGGATGTGCTTTTGTCTGTTTCGATCCCATTACAAAAGCTTTTAAGTTGGGCTTTGTAATTTGAAATCGTTTCAGACTGTTAACTAAAAAAGGGATATTAATATACATGTCATCGTCCGCTTTGAGAATATATTTTGCCTTTGGACAGTAATGAGAAACATACTTGAGGATAGAAACGGACTTGATACTGAGGTTGTTATAACAGTCTACAAAATCCTCTTGCAGTACGTCTCCGTACATAACAGATTCTTCAAGAATTAACTTCTGGGTTAAACTCGCAGTAGGCGAGCTAACGTCTGGTATTCCAATGAAGAAAATTAGAATTGAAGTAAAGGAGCTTTCATTAGCATAACTACCCCAGGTCTCTCGAATTGTTTTTCTACCTTCAAAGTTGTCACCGCGAGTTGGAACACAGATAATTAAATCTATTTCTTGGTGGTCATTACACTTTACAGTGGGAGAAATTACGTGTTTATACTCATGTGGGTTAATAACGTTTTCGGATAGAAATAAAAATTTGTTGAAATTTAGGTCACTTTCGGAAGGCGGAGTTTTCTTGAAATTGTTGGACGCTGGATCCCACACTTTGGATTGGTTAGTTTTCACAGGGCTGGTCCATATCTCCGTATCATAGCTATCTATTGCCCTGCTTTTAATGATATTTGAGTCAACACTTGAGAACACAGTTAAGAATCTATTGTCAGATGCAACTATGTACAATACAATAGTGGACAATGCAATGGTGAAAACAAAGCTGAGCTTCACACATTTTATTTTAGGCAGGACTCGAAGACCATCGTACATCCACCTGCATGAATGAGAGTTAAAATGTGCACGTTTAACTGTGTTTTAAAATCTTAACAAAAATAAGTAACTTAAATATTACATTTTAGCTTAGATGTCTACGAGAAATATAAGTGTAAGCTACCTATAAATATAAGTTACGTTCCTGTATATTTTAATGTTAATCTATATTATGTATAGCTTCAGCTTGTTGCATAATCAACAGTACTTTTATCAGCTCTACCAGAGGCGTAGCGACCCTACCCGGCGCCCGGGGACAAACTTTTCGATTTGCACCCCCCCCTCGAGATTTCGATTTACACCCCCCCTCAAACTTTCGATTTGCACCCCCCCTCGAGATTTTGATTTGCACCCCCCCCCCCTCAAACTTTCAATTTGCACCCCCCTCAACCTTTCAATTTATTTTTCCAACCCATTTTGGCGCCCCCTAAGCTCGGCGCCCGGGGACATATGTCCCCCACCCGCCCCCCCCCCCCTCGCTACGCTACTGAGCTCTACATATGTAACACAGATAGTCACAAGACAAGGGGGATAACAAATAAAGTTTTAATTCATTGAGTTGCGGCCCCTGTGGTATTCGTGTTAAATTCTAATTTAACTTTCAAAGTATCTATCAAAAATGTTACTTAGTTTTTATACCTCACTATTTGTTCCCCCATTTAAAAAGATAGTGATCTTACCTTATGATATCACGCTTCATTTCGTATTTGTTTTCAAAATAATCTTAGTTGTATCTAGAATTGTGTTGATTGTGACAAGAATGCTATAAAAAATGTTCAAAAATATGAGTATGAAAAATGACATTAGACAAAAACTTTAATTCAAATTGTATATTCTGATGCTTCAGAGAATATCTGACAAGAAAATAGAACACATACATTTAGAAAAATATCACAGCTATGGTCATTTAAATATATATATATATATATATATATATATATATATATATATATATATATATATATATATATATATATATATATATATATATATAATGTTTGAGAAATAAGAAGAATAATCTGTATCCAGAAATACCTGTTTAAATGAACCACATCTATAATAATAGTTTCGCTGTCTGTCTATCTATCTATCTATCTATCTATCTATCTATCTATCTATCTATCTATCTATCTATCTATCTATCTATCTATCTATCTATCTATCTATCTATCTATCTATCTATCTATCTATCTATCTATCTATCTATCTATCTATCTATCTATCTATCTATCTATCTATCTATCTATCTATCTATCTATCTATCTATCTATCTATCTATCTATCTATCTATCTATCTATCTATCTATCTATCTATCTATCTATCTATCTATCTATCTATCTATCTATCTATCTATCTATCTATCTATCTATATGTCTGACAAGAACGCTCTAGAGAAAACACAAGGAAAATAAAAACATGCACAGTAATTCGAAAAACGAAGTATGACGTCGACACATTTAGCGCACAGAGTAGAAAATAATCTCAAGCCGGATAGTGCACACATTAATATGACGTCATTGATTATCGAGTAAACATTCAATACAAAGGCAATTTGGTCTAATCTAAGTGGTTTGCGTGAAGAGTTTCTTTCATACAATTCTTCGGGTAGGGGCGAAGCCCCACCCCCGCGTAAGAACGTCTGAGGGGGGTGGGGGGGGTTGAGTGGGGGGGGGGGGTGGTTTTAATTTATACTTTTTCCTCCCCGGAGAGGGGTGGGGGTACTTGAAATTTTCGGGGGCGGGGGTAGAATTTTCGGGGAGGGGGCGGACACTGGAAAATGTATATAATTATATTTCGTTGAATGGGACGGTAGACATGTTTTTTTAGGGGGTGGGGGGGGTGGGGGGAGGGGGTGGTGTGTGTGGGGGGGGGGGGATGGGGGGTGAGTGGGGGGGGTGGTTTTAATTTAGACTTTTTCCTCCCCGGAGAGGTGTGGGGGTACTTGAAATTTTCGGGGGCGGGGGTAGAATTTTCGGGGAGGGGGCGGACACTGGAAAAAGTATATAATTATATTTCGTTGAATGGGACGGTAGACATGTTTTTTTTAGGGGGGGGGGGGGGTGGGTGGGAGGTGGGGGGAGGTGTGTGTTGGGGGGGGGGGTGAGTGGGGGGGGGGTTTAATTTAGACTTTTTCCTCCCCGGAGAGGGGTGGGGGTACTTGAAATTTTCGGGGGCGGGTGTAGAATTTTCGGGGAGGGGGCGGACACTGGAAAAAGTATATAATTATATTTCGTTGAATGGGATGGTAGACATGTTTTGTTTTGGGGGGGGAGTGGTGTGTGTGTGGGGTGGTGTGTGTAGGGGTGGGGGTGGGGGGGTGGTGTGTGGGGGGTGGGGGTTGGGGGGGGGTTGGGGTGGTGTGTGTGGGGGTGGGGGTGTGTGGGTGGGGGGTGGGGGTGGTGTGTGTGGGGGGGTGGTTTTTGTTTAGAGAAAAGAGACAGCACTATCAACCTAGCGCCCGGTGTATCCTTCCTCAACGGGCCATTTTTCTCGTTATGCAATAATTTTGTAAACATAAATTTACGTCGCAAACTAGCAATTGGTTTATAATTTATTTTTCAAAAATTATTATACCATATTGACACATTTGTTTACTTATTAAAAAAATAAAACATCTATAACCATCCCTTTATTATTATATAGAATATGCGACAAAGTTTAAGGGAAATCAGACCCTTTTTATTTTAACTTGAAGAAGAAATATAGAAATAATAAATAGTCAATTCGTTCTACCTGCTGAAGCAAACACATTATTAAACACGAAAAATGTGCCCACTGCTTCTCTTGACCTCATCAAAGAAAAGCCGAAGTGTTTTATCAGAAAAAATTTGCACGATTAGAAGAAAAAATTTCAAATGTCTGTGAGGCTATTTTTTTTATTTGCAAAAAGATTTGCCATACTCTAACAGGATGTATTCTACGCCAGACAGCTGTCATTCTATTCATTTAACATTCATATTATTTCAACCCAAACAGTTGATTGGTACTGCTACGATGAAACAGTGGATAAGAAGGGGTCAGATTATGTGTACTCAAGGTTATTTGATAATTGCATCAATTAGCTGCCTTGTGAAGTGAAACAGATCAAGTTGTTTCGTGATTCATGTGCAGGACAAAAAAAAAAGAACTGGACTGTATTGCGATTCTTATAATATCTAGTGCACAAACCTGAACCATTTGACAACATCACAGTATCATTTCCATTTCGAGATAATAGTAACCATTTTGTCCTACCTCCACTACCACTATAATCTCTTTTAAATGTCTACATGAAATTCCTTTTCATGAACCCACATCAATTCACAAACAAATTGAGCCTTTCATAGCTAAATTCCACCAATTCTAAAATTTTGATAAAGCTTAATTTACAACAGTAATGATCTTAAAAGCGAGCACAGAAGTATACGTCGAGCTGTTTTGTACGTTCGATTCCACTTTATTTCCTTTAGCTTACTTGGCGTCGAAAATTTTTTTAGGGAACGAAAATAAAACACCGTAGTTATCCCGTCTATCCAGGACTGTCATACGCGCACACACACACACAAATACACAGACACACAGACACCACACACACACACACACACACACACACACACATATATATATATATATATATATATATATATATATATATATATATAGATATAGATATATATAGATATATATAGATATATATAAATTTGAATGTAATTATATATATACGTATATATGTGTACGTAAGTATATATATATATATATATATATATATATATATATATATATATATATATATATATATATATATATATATATATATATATACGTATATATGTGTACGTATATAAATTTGAATGTAATTATATATATATACGTATATATGTGTACGTAAGTATATATATATATATATATATATATATATATATATATATCTTTGAAAAAAATGGCGTGAACTTGTTTACTTCCGGAATTGATGTCAACTTTCTTTCATAGTTTTTAGTGTTTTTATTCACTATTTAATCCAAATAAATCTAAGGGAAGTACTACTCATCCATTAGGGTTGAGAATGTAGTTTAATACTAATTTACTAGCCGGTTCTTATTGTGATATTTTAAGTTTTTATATTATTGTCTCATCCATTGTTAACATGTAAACCGGATATCTATATTCTTAGTTGTTGTAGATCTACTGATGATTCGTTTTCTTTTTCATCTATTTCTACTGATGTCAGCATGATATTTTAATTTTACTGGTGAGTGAAAATGTTAGGGACTGGTGTTGTCACCAGAAGCAGCAGAGCTAAGAAGTATCGTTTAAATAAAGAAAAAGCGATATCAAAAAAGATTGCTAACATTTGTGCAGCGGATGATATTCATTTTCAAAAGAAAGATGGAGGACAATGCGTTATCATTGCCTTTAGAAACTCAATTAGCTATGAAAAAGTAAAAAGAATCTTCAAAACTAAATATGCTGGTGTTGTTGAGGAAAGAAGGGATGATGATGGCGCCAATGTTGAAGTTATAAATTACCAGGGCTGTCTGTCCATCTGTACCACACGAATAACAAAATTATGGTACAGGGAAAATCTAACGTTGTGTCTGTTTGGGTGGATTCGGAATTTTGCTGTATTCTAAATAACCTAATTACAACAGACAAAGCTGTCGACATGCCTCTACCCATGTCGCCGCCACTATCACTGTCACCACCACCTTCACTGTCCCCACCCAGAGTATTGGAGCTACCCATTTCACCGCCCATGATTATGTCTGCTTCCAACAGTGACAATCAATGTGCAGAGGATACGATCAATACCTATCCGTTAGATTGTGTAACACCTATAAATAACTATACATTTTCATCAAACCTATCTCAACCAACTGATTTGCTTAGTCCAAAAATATCATTTCTTCAAACCACACAACTGGATAATAACTTAAGATCGTTTATTCTTAACGAGATCACCTGTGTTAAAAAAGCTTTTAAAGCGGAGAAATTGCTGTTTAACAGCCAACTAGAACAACTCCGAGTCGAAAACGCTGTCTTAAGGGATGAAGTCAAGAGACTATCTAATGAAGTGCATAGCTGCAAAGATATACACGTTAACCTTAAGAAACGTTTGATTGATCAAGAAAATATTTCTGCGTCACTAAAGAAACTCCTCACAACCAAGAAACCCTCTTGCAGCACAATATCCACCTCAACATGTGAGGATAATCAACAACAACTAATAAATGATACAAAAATCACATCGGCAGGCATCATGCAAGAAGCTCCGTTCCCAATCCCTGTTAAAATTACACAACGTGATGACAGAGCGCGAATCAAACCATCGGAACATTCGAGTCCCAGCACCCTGCAACGACCACGAACTAAAAGCAATTCTACACAATACAGCGTCCCAACGGTCAAGGCTGTTCATGTCCCTGTTGTCCAACGCTCTACTCACTATGCCACTAATAGAGATAGCACACAACATGTCGCCGCCCCCTACACCAACCTAACAACGAAACACCATTTGATCCTTGGTGACTCTACACTTAAAGGTCTCCATCCTGATATAATGTATCGGTAATAGCGCTGCCTGGGGCAAATTTTGAAAAAATTAGGGACGTTATTAGTAGCCGATCACGTGACTCTAATACCACAACTGTAACCTTACATTGTGGTGTCAACGACATTCTATCAAACGTCAGACTGTCACAAGCTAATATGCTAGAAATTGT